CCCCGCCAACTGGAGGGGCCTTGACATCCTGGGGCTGTCAACAACACCTCCTGTGTACTACCAGCCCCTTCCCCAAACCACTCCACTTCGGGACAGCCTCGTTAGACATACCTCGATGTGGCCCGAACATTGTGATACATAGGGCCAGGTCCATACTTTCAGGGTGCTCAGTCTAGATGTAGAAGGAGGCATTGAATGCAACCTAAGAGGTCAGTGACAGAACCAGGCACAGGATGTGATGGGAATATAAAGGAGAAATATTTGATCCAGATCTCAGAGGTGGCTACCCGTAGGAGATAACTTCCGAGAAGCTCCTTTAAATTAAGGGTTGAGAACTGAGAACGTTATGCCTCGAAAGGACAGCCCCTAGCCCTCAGCTCTGGTCCACTGTTGCCAGGTGGATTTGGATCCCAGCATTGCTGGCAATGGCCAAAACAAGGGTAGAATGATGGTTCGGGTGTGCCCCAGGTGTGGGCAATAAAGGTAGAGAATTAAAGAATCATAATAAGAAAACTAAAAATTGGCCTGCTTTTTGTCATCACCACCCATTGGCAATTTTAAACAACATCAGTTAAAAAATGCTTCTCCTGGACTTCCCTGGTGGTCCAGTGGTTAAGACTCCGAGCTTTCACTGCTGAGGGCTGGGGTTCAACCCCTGGTTGGGGAACTAAGATTCCACAAGCCGTGCGGCGCGGCCAAAACACACACACACACACACACAAACCCCCGAAACACTAATGCCCCATTTCCTCCTCCACCCAGGCCAGTACCCCGGCAACTAATTTTTTAAAATTAAAACACTAGCATTTCAGAGAAAACTTATCTTAAGAGCAGGATTCAGACCCTGGGCTTTCGGTGCTTGTATTCCTCAGGGTTGACAGTCTGCCCTTCTCACAATTCTGAAGTTGATCTCATCCGCTTTTGGGGCTTAAACTACTGTCTAGGTGAGAGGCTGTATGATGCGGTTAGGAGCATGGATCCTGGACCTGGACTTCTGGGGTTTGAACCCAGCTCTGTCATTTAGTAGTTGTGTAACCTTGGTTACATTATTGAACTTTTCCCCCTCATTGTAAAATGGCAAGAGTGAAGGCACAGGGACTTCCCTGGTGGCACAGTGGTTAAGAATCCGCCTGCCAATGCAGGGGACACGGGCTCAAGCCCTGGTCCAGGAAGATCCCACATGCCGCGGAGCAACTAAGCCCGTGAGCCACGACTACTGAAGCCTGCACACCTAG